AGTGTGTGTGATGGCGTGTCTTTGATGTGCTGGGAGCACCCAGAAAACAGCACAAGGAAACAAACCCAGGGACAGGGATGGGCAGGAAAGGATTTGAGTAGGTGTTGGACTCCAAATATTACCTAAAAATTACATTTATCTCCCATGTTATTGCTGGATTACACTGTGTCTCACCTAAAAAATCCAATGCGCAGGCTGGAAGGTGGAAAGACCTTCCCCGGTTCTTCGTTCGCGAAGAGACTGGCCATTATTGCTGGATTAGCACCAAGTGGTATTTCTCTCCCTATCTCTCCGTCAGGATCATGGGAACAGGGTACAAAGGAGAGTGAGATGAGACCCAAAGCATGAGAAGAGATGACCATAGCCATGGCCATGGGTGCTCAGGCTTTGTCCCAACGTCCCAGGCCACGTGCAAACCCACCAGCAGGGAATTATTAACATTCAGCCACAACCCGCCGAATAAAGCGAGCGAACACAAATGTTTATTTTCACAGTAGTGAATTATGACTTCAATAGACCGAAATTACAGGCTGCGTGCATGGAATGGGAACGCAGCAGCCCCTGCCACCCAAACGCTGCCAGGGGGGAAAGGGTGGTTCTGTCCCATCCCTGCTGTCCCTTGGGGGTTACGGTGCTGCCTACCTGTCCCGCTGGTGCCCGGACAGCTGTTGGGCTCCTGGGAAAGTGGTGCCAAGGCAGTTTGATGGCACCCCAAATTAACCAGGGGATGGAGGGGTCATGGCTTTTCCTGGCAGGTCCCTGTGATGTGCCCATGGCAGGTTGTTGCCAAGTGGGTTTGGTCACTGCTGGGCTCATGGCACATCACCAGCTGGGCATTCACATGAGGGTTTTGTGATGTATTCAATGTTTTGCACTTGGATGTGTGACACAGGTGGTTCGGCTAAGAGTGTCACTGCTGTGGGCAAGTCTCTGCTCCCCTGGTGAGGGGCCAGATTCCAAATAAGCCCTGTGCTGGTATCCCAGAACTCTGGGGCTCTGCCTTGGGACCACTCTCAGGCTGCCTCGGTGATGCTCGGGGTCCGTGATGCCTTGACCTGTGTGCCGGTGGGGTCTGCACCAGGCACCACGTGTCCCAGTGCACGTGTCCCCATGCAGACGTGGAGATGGTATTTGCATGTGCCAGCCAGTGCCACCCATGCAAAGCTGGGGGTGTGGTGGGGCGGGTGTGCAGCTGTGTGGGAGTGGAATTTCCTCTGATGCTCGTGGGCCTGTGCTGGTGGGGATGTGCCGGTGGGGCCATGACACTCACCTGCATGGGGCTTCTGGAGAAAGGTCTCATAGAGAGTGAGGGCAGCAGGAATGTGGAGAACCCCAGGCCCCATGGGCTTTTCTCTGGCAATTAGGGATGGAAAACCAGAGATGGAGGTTGGAATGGCTGAGAGCGGGGTGAAGGGGCTGGACTAGGGCACTGCAGCACCTCCTGCTGCAAACCCATCAGTGGGGTGATGTGGGGGGGAGCTTGGCTGTGCAGTGACCACATAGTGGTCATTTAATGGCCATGTGGTGCCCACACAGAGGCCATGCAGTGGCTGTTTACTGGCCATGCAATGGTCAGACCATGCAGCAGCTGTTCAGTGGTCATGCCAGGGCCATGCAGTGCCCTCGCAGTGCCCACACAGTGTCTGTGCATCAGCCCTGCCAGGGACACGCCCTGGCTGTGCAGTGGCCACGCAGCTGTTTGTGCCACCCAACACCCTGGCAGTGGTTGTGCAGCAGCCGTGCCACGGAGATTCGCTGCCTGGCAGAGCTGCCACGGTCCCAGTCCCCGGGAAGTGGGTGAGGATGAGTAATACAACCAGCACAGGGGCGGCAAAGGCTCAGCAGTTGCGGAGGGAAGCAGCTGCCAAGCACAGGAGTTACACATAGAGGCAGGGCTGTGGCTCGTAGGGAAATTTGCAGGGAAATTCATGGGGTTCGTGTTCCCAGCTGCAACATCATAGTAGGACTTGGGCAGGGAAAACAATATTTGAATGATCCCTCCAACTGGCACGAGGCTTGCAGGAAGGGTATGCCAGGCAGGCAGATGTGTGCACTGCTGCCCTGCACCACTATAGAGGAGGGTCCCACTGGTATTCCCACCATGCAGCTGCTCTTTCAAGTCCCACTGAGGCCAAGTGGTGTGGGAGGCACATCAGGGTCGAGATGGGATGGTCATGTGGGGTGTTGAGGGCTGTACCTCTGGGGCTTGTGGCTGAGTGTGTGATTGCTCCAATTGCAACCCCAGTCCTTGGGCCTCCAGAGAGGCAAGCTGAACAATCACAGCTCCAGCCCTCTGCAGCCCCCCAGCCCCTTGCAGACAACCCCACCCCGCTCCAGCCCCTTGATGGTTCCCATGGCCCCAGACAAGCCCTGGCCCATTCCTTTGCAGCCCCTCCACCTACCCCCAAACAACTCCCAGACCCTTGTAGCTCTCCAAAACATTTGATGCCTGCCTCCCACCCCCAGCTTTGCAACCCTTGATCTTCAGCACCCCCAAACTCTTGTGAACCCTGAAGCTTTTGCAAACCCCAACACCCTGAAGCCCGCAAGCTCCATCCACCCCTTACATGGCTGTCAGGTTGACTGTCACCAGGCCCTGTGCACCCCCCAAAGCCCTGGGCAGCCCCGTGTCCCCGTGCAGACCCCCAGTGTCATGCAGCTCTGTGATTTCATGCCGTCCTTTGGTGTTGTGCAGCCCCATATCTCCCACCGCACTTTGGTACAATGCAGCACCCCCATCGCTGTGCAGCCTCTCGGTGCTGTGCAGACTCTCCAGTAACGCTCAGCTTTGTGTGCCCCCACAGCCCCTCATTGCCATACAAGCTCCATGTCCTCCTGCAGCCCCCCCGGTGCCACCCATCCCGGTGGCCACGTCCATCCCATCCCGATCCTCCCTCTCGGTCCATCTCACCCCGGTGTCCTCGTCCATCCCATCCCATCCCATCCCATCCCATCCCATCCCATCCCATCCCATCCCATCCCATCCCGTCCATCCGCTCCCCGGGGGTCCCGCTCCGGTGGCGGCAGCGGCGGTGTGGCGCCCCCTGGCGGGAGCGGCGCGGCGCCGTCTAAGGCAGCGGCGCGGGCGGGCCCCGCTCACTCCGGGCCGGGCGGGCTGCGCGGCGGCAGCGGCGGCTCGGCGGGGGCCCGGCCGGGCTCGGAGCGCGGCCGCGGGTGCCCCACGGCCGCGACGCGGCGCCGGGAGGATGCGCCGCCGGGCAGCGCGCAGGGGGTGAAGCGGCCCCGCGGATTTACCGGCTTCTCCGCCCTCCCCCGCTTCTCCGCTGCCCCCCCCTCCGGGGGGAGGGGAAGCGCCCCGACCGCCGGAGCTGGCGGCCCCCGGCGGCCCCGGGCGCGGCGAGCGGCGGCGGGCAGGTGCCGGGGGCAGCCGCCGCCGCGGGGCCGCGCTCTGCCAGCGCCGGCCTTAAGCGGGGCCCGGGGCCGCCGCCGCCGGGGGCCGCTGCCGGCGCTGCCCGCTCCTGCCGGCCCCTGCCTCGGGACTTACCTCACCCCTCCGCCACACCTCAGGACGGTAAGTGCCGTCCGTCGACGGGGACGGGGAAGCTCCCGGGGCCCTCGAGGGCTCCTGGGGGAGAGGGGCTGGGGATGTTACCCGTGGTCGGGGGATGCTCCCGGTGCGCAGGGAAATCGGATGCTCCCGGTGCCCGGGAAGGCTCCCGGAGAAAAGAGGCTGAGAATGCTGCCGGTGTTCGGGTGATGTTCTGGGTGTGCAGGAGTCAGGGAGACTCCGGGTGCCCGGGGGATGCTCCTGTTGTGCAGGAGTCTGAGATGCTGCCGGTACCCGGGGGAGTCTCCCGGTGTCGGGGAAGCTGCTGGTGTTCAGGGCAGTAAGGGGCTCCCTGTGCCCGCGGGAGGCTCGCGGTGCGCAGGGGAGTCGGAGGTTCCGGGCGCCCAAGGGAGGCTCCTCGTATCGGGGAAGCTGCCGGTGCGCGGGGAAGCTCCGCAGCGAAGGAGCGGGGCCGGGCGAGCGGGGGCACAGCCGGGGCGAGCGGGCACCGGAGCGGCGGAGGCAGAGCGGGCTCCTACCCGTGGCTGCCGCGCCCGTGGGACCCGCTCCCACGCGCTGCCCTTCCGGGGAGTCGGCGGGGTGCGGACCTCTCTCCCCTGCACTCCCGGGGCTCTCCTTGCGCTCCCCTCCTTGTCGCCAGCAGCCGCTTCCCCTGCGCCGGGGCGATGAGAGGCGGCCCAGCATCTCCGGGAACCCACTGGAGTTTGTGCCCACCCCCCAGCAAATCTCCCCTTGTTATGCCTCCCGACTTCTGCCCGGTGGGAAAACTCGTTGTCATCCCCGCATCCCTCCTCCTCGCCCGCCAACCCGCCGGCTCTGCATCCTGCTCCGGCTGCACCGTGGATTTAGAGATGGAGGCGCGTTTGGTGGCGAGGAGGAGCTGACCTACTCGGGAGAGTTTGCGGGAGGAATCCCAGGGCTGGTTTGAGAAGTTCCAGCTACGGCAGCGTCGTTCTGTGTTTACATGCGAGGACACGGGTCCGTGGTGGGGACACAAACAGTGTCCTCTCGGCTGTGCCGGGGATGTTTTTTTGGATGTGGATTTGGGAAGGAAGGCTGGCTCGAGAGCCTCCAGCGCTGCCGTTGATCAACGCCCGGCTCTTGCTTTCCCTTTGGAATCATGTTAAGCTGGGCAGCCGGCTCCAGGAGCCTGGCTTTGCCAAGGGAATGCTGCCGGCGTAGTGATGGAGTGAGGCTGGCCCCACGCTCCTTCGTGGCTCTTCAGTGACGCTGAGCCGGAGCACAACCAGTTCTCCCCGTCATTCCCCTGCCGCTGGAAGGTGCCTTGGATACTGCAGAGCCTTTCTCTAGTTAAACACACCTTTTCTTGGAATTCTTTTTTTTCCCTCTATTAGCCAAGAAAAACTTTACAACTTTCCATCGCTGTCGGAGAAGAGCCGCTGCCACTGCTGGGTTTCATTTTGTTTTTTTAATTCGAGGTCACGTGCGCATTGACAGTGCCTTTGAATCCAAGCGATGGTCTCGTCTCCAGCTTAGGAAGAGCTTTTGAGCTCTTCCCTCTGTTGTTTTCTCTCTGTTCAGGAACAAAGAGATTTTTCCGCCTTTAATTAAAAGGAATATTAATTCCGTGCTCCTTTGTTGAGAGACTTGAAGACACTCTGCAAACATCCATCTGCTTGGCACCGCGGCGGGGTGAACTCTACTATGGTACAGGGCATGGAGATACAGGGGAACCATCCCGAAATCCCATGGCAAGCGCAGAGCAGCGGCCAGGGAGGATGCTGACAGCCATGGTCCTCGGGTGAGGAGCCCCACGGGTCCGAGCTGCCACCTGGGGTGAGCTCTTGGATCCTGAGGGGTGTGTGAGGCAAGTCCCTGCACTGAGTGTCTCCACGCAGGGAGAAATTCCACAGCTGGGGAGACAAGTGGAAGTGAATTTGGCTGTGCCAAGGGAGTTTTCCCTGCTGGCTGCTTCCTGTGCCGGCAGGTAAGGTTTTACCCAGGGATAGGCAGATGTTGGATGTGTTTTGTTTGAAAAATGTGAGTGCAGATGTTGGCTTGCGGGGAGGACAAGACAGGATGCGGGGTGGGAGAGGCTGTTCTCCCGTGGTGTTGGGTGCTGGCACGGGATGGGTGCTGAGTTTGGGCAGCACTGAGGCCTTGTGTGGGTGCAGGATTTGCCTCTTACGTTGAGAACTTCCAGGGTGCAGGATAGAAAAATATTCCTGTGCACAGTGTGCCGGGGAGGGCTCCAACAGGTCCCTCTGGGGGGATTTGAGGCTGGAAGGTCTCTGCTGACATCCCCAACGTCCCTTCCTGGCTTTCTGCTCCTGAGCCATGGATGTTTGCATGCCTGGAAAACCCCAGGCAGGATCCAGGCAGTGTGGCTGCGCTGTGTCTGTCTTTGCCATGGAAATGGGGTCTCGGCTCTGCTTGCCACCGGCAGCCAGCTTAAATCCCTGGAGCAGTCTGGAGGCTGTTCGGCTCTGCCCCCAGCTGTGTGATGCTCCCTGCCCTACAGCCACCTGGGGAAGGGGTCTGGGGTGTTGTGGGACCCCCGGGAAGGAGAGGGGCCTTAATGGGGGTCCCTTAAGGGTGGTCAGTTGATTGCCAGTGAGTCAGCCAGGGAGTGCAGGGCTGCCAGGAAGTGCAGAGCTGCCAGGGAATGTTGGCAGAGGGGCAGGAGCTGGGTCTCTCCTAGAGGAACACACTAGCCCCCACCACCAGCACTGATGCTACTTCTGCTCCCAGCCAGACCAGCATATTCTCAGTGAGCACAAGGTTTGGGGCAGATCAGGGCCTGATGCTGTGAATGGGGCTGTCCAGGTGCTGGGGAGGACCAGGGTTAAGCTGGGCTTAATTGCTACTGCTTGGGTCGATGGGATGCAGTTGGATGCTGCAGGTGGGATGCTGCAGTCCTGACCTGTGCTTTCCAAGCTGGATCTCACATGGGAGGTGGATTTGGCTGCCCAGCAGAATGAGAACAAGGGGGGTTTCCCCAAGCTGGGACAAATCGTTGCCAGCCAGGGGCAAAAATAGGCTGGTGGCATAGAGGGCAGCCCCCTGCCTGGCACCGCTGCCCTTAGTGCCATTGACCAGTTTGGGGTTATTTTTAGATTTCCTGACACTGTTTTCTGCCAACCCTCCCAGTGTCCTCAGGCTCCCCAGGGGGAACCCCACCTTGACAAGCCCACAGCTTTCCTTCGGAAGATGCTGACCAGTGTTTTCAGAAAACATCCAAGGGATTTCCTGTTTATTTTGCAAAATTCTCATTAATATCTTTTTCCTGTGTTGTTTGATTCAATCTCACATGGGCGAAATCGCCTTGAAATGGAGCCTGTGCTTCAAAAATAGACAAAGAGTCAGTGAGGCAGCAGCCTGGAGGCTGTGGGAGTGCAAGGCTGGATCCGGCACCCCCTCGGAGCTGGTACCATCCTGGCGCCTGCGGGGCCGGATCCGGCGCGGGGTCCCTGGGGAGCCGGCGGCGCTTCGGCGTTCCCACGCTGCAGGGACCGTGCAGGGAGCTCCCCGCCGGTGAGGGTGTGCGGAGGGGGCTGTTTTCCTTCTCCAGCCACTCTCTGCCTCCAGGATGCCCCGAGTCCCCTGCATGTGCCACTTGTCCCCGCTCCAGCCACCAAGGCCACTTTTGGGCATGAGCATCCTTGTGCACATGGCTGCAAAAATCCCAGACTGGGGCATTTTAGCCAAAACCTCTCCCTGTCCTCAAAGAGCACCCGCTGCTGCACTGGGGGTACCGGGCTGGTTTTGAGGTGCCCCTTTGGCAGCTTGTTGGTTCATGGGGGAATGGTCCAGCTGAGGTGGTTTGCAGCCCAGATGTGGGTGTTTCCTGGGTGGGGTCAGTTCCAATCCTGTGCCGCCCATGTGTCTCCAGGTGTGCCAGGCTGGCCGCAGCACTCTGTTTACTCCTGGTGTTTAGCCAATATATTTAATCTCCAGGAGTGTAAGGCAGCTGGGGAGCAGCAGGGTCTGTGTGTGCTCACTTCCCTGTGCCACCCTGGGAGCTGCTGGGGGGATGAATCCAACAGTGGCACGGGGCACAACACTGCAGCAGAGTGTGTAGCAGGTGTTGTGCCCTCGCTGGGTGTAGTTGGCCATCCTGCTGCTCCTCCAGTAGGTCAGGGGGACCTTCCCTCCTGACTTTGTGCATGGGGGGACCCCTCTTGCCACCCTTTCTCCACACCAGCAGCCACGTCGCCGCCAGCCGCTGTTGACTCACAGGCTCCACCGTCAAGTCCCGGGGCTGAGCCCGAGATGCTTTTCCAGGCAAGGCTGAAATGCACAAAATGTTCGACTTGTAAAATATGTAGCGTGAGAAAATAGCCTTTTCTGCTCTCCTCCTCCTGCCGCCGCTCCCCTGCCCCATCTGCTCGCTTGGAAGGCTTCCCACAGCTGGGGGGGCTGGCGGCGCACTGGGTCCCTCAGCATGGATGGCATCCACCCTCCCGCTGCTGTGCCCGCTCAGAGGGGCCACTCCTTGGTACCAGTAGGGCTCCTGGGGGCAGCACGGGCGCCTCAAGGATGCGCTTGATCCATGAGGATGTTGCCCACCTGAAGCCCTCTCCATCTGCCTGCCCTCCCCATGTGCTCCAGCATCCCAAAGTTTCTCTCCCATGAGACACGTTTTCGGGCCAGCACTGGGAATGTCAGCCGGGCTGTGCGTGCCCTGGCACGGGGGATGACGCAGATGGCATTGGCGCATCCCGTGGGAGCTGGGGTTTCCAAACCTCTCAAGAGGGTCCTGGGAAATCCCCCTGCAAGGTGCCCCGGCAGCACCAGGAGGGAGCTGCCACGCCAAAGCTGGCCACGAGCCACAGTTTTCACCAGCCACCTTAATCCATCATTATCTGGGCACATTTCGGATCCTTGCCAAGAGCAAGGTGGGAAGGGGGGGTGTAAGCATGCTTTCCCTATTCCCCTGCCATCCTTTTTGCTGCCTGTGTGTAATTAACAGAGTAATTAAAAACAGAATGAGTTAATTGGTATTCATTTATGTGGCAGATGTTTTTAATTGAGATACGAAACAATTTACCTGTTTACATAAACAATAGCAAATGAAGGCTTGTAAAACAGAGAGGGTGCTTTTTTTTTTTTGCTTTTTTGTTGTTGTTTCGAGGAAAATCAAACCCATCCCATCCCCCCGCCCCCGGCCACGCCAGCTTAGGGAGAGCAGGAGCTGCTGGCACTGCCTCGGTGGCACTGAGCCAGCTGGTTTGTGTCCATGGGTGGCTGGTTTTGGCTTGAGAAAAAGGATTTTTGGGCTTAGGGTGCGTGGAGAGCCTGGCTGTGGGCGCTGATGTCCTGTGTGGAGCTGTCACTGCCACACTGCAGAGCTGGAAGGGTACAGGGGTCATGGTCCCTGTTGGGAGTTGATGTCCTGGAGCCAGGGGACAGTGTGGCTTATGGTGCTCTGACAGCACTGACATTCTTGGGATGCAGGTGCAGGCTGTGTGGCCGGGGGTTGCTCAGAGAGCAAAGCAAATTGGGGTGTATCCAAGCATGGGGAAACCTGCTTTACCCCAGAACTGGGTGGGTGGGAAGTGTTCCAGTGGGTCAGTGGCATGGGATGTGTCCCAGGATGCCCATGGGAAACGTGAGGATGACCTGCTGGGGCTCTCCAGGACTGGTTGAATCTGGGTTCACTTACAAGTTAAACAGAGAGTTTAATTAATTGGATTTACTTTTAAAGTTAGTTTTATTTGTGCTGGTGAGTGCTGGGGTGTGGATCACTCCCTGCTAACCCTCCCTAAAATGAGCATATGTGACGCTGTGGTGATGGGTTGGAAGCAACCCTCCAGCATTATCATAGGATCATGGAATAGTTTGGGTTGGAAGGGACCTTTAAGCTCATCTCATTCTATCCCCTGCCATGGGCAGGGACACCTTCCACTAGACCAGGTTGTTCCAAGCCCCATCCAACCTGGCCTTATATACTTCCAGGGATGGGGCAGCCACAGCTTCTCTGGACAACCTGCGCCAGGGCCTCACCACTCTCACAGGGAACAATTTCTTCCCAGTAACCAAACCCACCCTCTGTCAGCATCCCACAGCTGTTCTCCTCCTCTCTCCCCATCCACATGCAACTGGGATAAGCCACCCCCAAGGTGGCTGCTGTCACCTCCCCCCATCATCACCATGGCCCCAGGGAGGGGATCAGGAGGGAGATGAGGATGCCGTGAGTTCCCACCAGCTCTGCCGGGCTGGTGCACGTGGCCAGCACTGCTACCTGGCTGCTGGCATTACTCGCTTCCTAACCTGCTCCAGCTGGGATATCTTGGTCCCTGCAGTCTTACTGGGGAGTTGTTCTTGGCCCTGGTGGCTGCGGCAGCTGAGGAGTAGGAATGCTTCCCTGCCTTTGTTTTGGAGGCAGCCTGGCTTGGGGAGATGTCGCCTCCAGCATCTGGATTTCATTTGTGGCCATTTGGAGAGCATGAAGGATGCTGGGCGCTGAATTCCCTTTAACCCCTTCCTTGCCCAGGCAGCTTTGTCTGGTCTGGGAGGGCTACAGGGAGCCAGAGATTTCCAATGTTCCGGGGCAGTTCCCTGCCTGCTCCATCCCCAGGGAGTGGAGAGAAGAGCAGCCAGCCTGAGTGCTCCACAGTCATTGGGCTCACCCTCAGCTGGCACATCCCATGTGCTGCCTGGGAAGGACAGAACTCCAGACTGGGACACTCTCTGTGGTGGGATGCCAAGCTGGGATGGCTGCCAGTCCCATCCCTCAGGCGCTGCTCCTGTCCCTCAGGCTGCAGCCTGCAGGATGCCATGCATTGTGCCCTCTGGAATGCTTGGCTGCATGATGGTGCCCACCAGCTGTGTGACAGTGTCACCCCAGCAGGGACCTTGCCCGGGCCAGTGCCGAGGGTTACACCCTGCAGTGGGACAAATGGGGGGCTCGGGGTCACCAGGGGTGTGTAGGGGTCCAGCATCCGTTGGCCCTGGGAGGTAGGGTGGGAACACTCGCTCCCACCAGCCGAGGAGAAAATACTAATCCTTTTATTTTTATATTATTACTTATTCATCTGGGCTGCACAGACCTAATGGAAACCAGATGGAGGAAAACAGACACAGCCCTGAGCGGCTGGGACAAATTACCCCAAAGAGAGAAAAAAAATAGAGGGAAAAAAAACTCCAGCGGAGTTTGAGTTGTGCTGGGGAATAGCTGTTTGGAGGTGATGATGGGAAACTGCACTTTGCCCCCCAAAACTTCCTTTGCCCCCATGGAACTCATCTCATCCTGCAAAGGACCTGGGTTGATGGCATGGCTGCGGTTGGGTCCTGTGGGCATCCCAGGCTCTTTGTCCCTTCGGATTTGAGACCATTCTTATGCCTGCAAAGCTGTGTTTGGGTTGCAGACGTCTTGGGGAAAATTTATAACTTGGAGAAAAAAAGGAAAACACAAGAAAAAACAGAACCAGACCTCGTTTCCCCAAGTGCTTGCTCAGCTTCATGGAAACTTTCCTCCTGGTGGGAAGCTGTGGAAAAGCTGTGTTGTTGCCAGAACGAGTGTATCCATGTTTTGCCCTCGGTGTGGGCATGTATGTGGAGTCAGGGCAGTGAGGGGGATGAGGGTCAGGTTGGGGATGCAGGTATGGATGGGGTTGCAAGCAGGGACTGTGCTGGTAATGTGACAGGAACAGGGATGCAGACAGGGATGCAGGCAAGGATTGTGTAGGCAAGCATCCGCTGTGCAGATGTAGGCACCTAGTCAGGGTCACACTCTGTGCCCTGAGTGTGCCCACAATTCAACCTCTGCCATCGGAGCTGGATCCTGCTCTGCTGAGTGTCAGGGAGAGCCTGGAAGGCTGGAGAAGCTTTGCTCAGAGATGGACATTGCTGTGAAAAGGAAAACAAAAGGTGTTTTTCAAAACAAATGATTTATTCTGGCAGGCCCTGTAAAGAAACTGATGTTTTAGGGGAGGAATGCTGCATGGTCTTAAGGTTTCTACTGTGGCTGAAGAGGGAGAAGGGAGCGAGGAACAGAAAACTGGGGCACACGCATCCAGGATTTTCAGGATTAAGGTGTGCCATGGAGAGGGAGGGATATCCATGGTGCTGGAGCCATCCAGAAGGAGGCTGTGGGTGCATGATGGTAACCATGAGAGATTTTGGTTGTTATCACTACCTCTCCCATCTCCTGGTCCTCCACATGGCACTGGCTGCGGCACAACCCCGATAGCATCTTGCTCAGGATGGGGCCCCAGTTTTATTTAGCCCGGACAATGTGCTCTTGCCGGGTTCAATTAATCTCCCCACAGTTGCCGTGGATTAAGGATGCATATTAGATTAGTGTTTATCAGCCGTGCCGGGGCGCAGCGGGGACCCCGCGGCCGGGTGGCTGTGGCTGTGGCGGCCGCTTCCATCTTTGGCTGGAGGCGGCGGCAGCTCGGGCACAGTGACAGATCACCGCAGCTGCCGGCACTTGTGGCTACCCGTCACTGCCCGGCGTGGCAGCCGTGGGGCCGAAACCTTGCGCTGGGGCCACGCCAACCAGAGGGGATGGTGCTGGCACGATTTCCCTGGGGATGCCGCTGCTGGGTGTTATTTGGGGTTGGATGTGCAGGGAGGTGAGAGGGAGGCAGCGATGCCGGGGGTAGCCCCGTGGGGTGATGGCAGGGAGCTCTGCCCTCCCTGAATTGTGGGATCTGGTGCCTCACAGAGCCCCTCTCAGGGCTGTGGGAGGACAGTCACTAGTGGGTCAATGTCATGATGTGTGGGTTGTGCCATCACTGCTGCCACTGAGCACAGGTCACTGGCATTATGGCAGCCAGGAGCTAGTGGGCAGCTGGGAATTCCTGAACTGTGGGAAGGAGGGTGCTGTGATGTGGCAGTGATGACTTTGGAGGGACACATACAGGCTGTGCCCTGTGCTTGGGGCAGAGCTGGTGCCCTGACCTGTCCCCACCACCCTGCATCCCTGCACAGGGCACTGTCCCCACCACTGTGCACATGACAGAAGGTCCATCACCATCCCCCACCATGCTGCTGGCACACAGGACACCAGGCACTGTCCTTGTTTTCTGAGCTGTGCCATCCTACACTGGGAGTGGATGTGCCCAGGCCAGCCCAAGGTCCCTGAGTGTCCCGTCTGCCCCTGTTTGCAGGGAATCCCAGCACACCCCGCTCACCACCCATGCCCTCTCCCTGCAGATAACGAGGAGACGCGGCCGCCACCATGCCTGACTCGCCGGCCGACGTGAAGACACAGTCCAGGTCCACGCCGCCCGCCATGCCCCCGCCGCCGCCCGCCGTCACCCAGGGAGCCACGCGCCACCCCTCCTTCACGCCAAACACCAGTGAGTATGGGTTGGGGATGCGGTGCCAGCTGGGAGGCTGCCCAGCCCCCCTCAACTCCACGTCACATGCTGCACCTGGTACCAGCAGTGTCCCCAGAGCCCAGCACAGTGCTGGCCATGATGTGGGGGGGGCATCACCTGTCCTCGCGCTGGAGAAGGTCCTTGGGCTCCACTCCCCAAGCCAAGGCTCATGCATGTGCCTACGGGGAATATCACAGCACTTCCCATGGCCAGCAGTGCCCTGAGAGGTGTTTGGGGACAGGGACATCCTGGTCTCCTGCCATGCGGTGATCAAATGCTGGCAAAGAGCAGCTCATGGCTGGGGGATGCTGTGGGTTGGGGGAGTCCCTGCGGATCGGAGTCGGCCCATTGTGGGTCCCAGGCATGTGGGGACCCTCGTGCCCATCTGTGTGTGGCACCCAGTGGTGGCAGGGCAGTGTCATGGCCACCCATGGTGTCAGGGACCTCCTTGCCCTGCCCAGGCTAAGGCGTGGTGGCATCAGGGGACTCCAGTTGGAGTCTCAGTCTCCGTAGTTGAACTGGGGGAGCTCCAGTGCGGTGGCTGCACCAGTGGTATGTGGGATCATTGCACGTGCCAGGCAAGATCCAGGCAGGTGGGGGATAAGGTTGGTCCCCCTGGCAGGAGTAGCAGTAGCCAGCATCAGTGGCTGCTCCAGCTCCACCAAGATGTATCTTGGGTACGCATGTGTTGCAAGAGTTTTGCTCGTAGCTGTTTCTTGCTTAGAAAGACCGAAATGGGGAAGAAAATACACTGAAACAACCCCCTGAGATGCAGCCCTCTGACACCTGCTGCCCCCAGCACTGCTCCTGGACAGACTCTAGAAATCAGCTCGTGCTTGGCTGTGCTCGGAAGGGTTTAGGTTTTCAATCCCAGTCCTGTGGCAGATGTGGCAGCTCAGGTCTTGTTGGGTCCGGCACATGGGGCCGGGGTGCAGGCAAGTCTCTCTGTCAGAGATTGGCCCAGAGCAGGATTCAGGACACAGGATCAGGGGTGCAGGCAGCCTCTCTGCCACAGCTTGGCATGGAGCACTACGGCGTTTTGGTTGTTCTTGGTTTCAGGGACCTCATTTGGTCCGCAAAGTGTGGGGACTCTGTCAGGCAGCTGAGAGATGCAGGGACTTGGGTCCATTGCAAGTTCAGGTTTTGCCCAGGGCACATGTGCCCACACTGTGTCCACACCGTGCCACCTCCCACACGGTGAGAAGCATTTCATGCAGGATCACCCGGCCGAGAGCTGCCCCCTCTGCTCTCTCATCATAGCGTGTTTTATTTTGCTTGCAGATCGAGACGCTGGCCCTCCGACGTTTCTGCCTCGCGGCCGTTTTCATGGTTGCTTGAAATGGTCGATGGTCTGTCTTTGTAAGTAAAATGAAACACCCGCTCTCATGAGAGACCCGAGAGCAGCCATAGCCTGCCCTGGCCGGCACAGGGTCCCTCAGGGGGCACAGGGCTTGGACAGGGGGTGTTCCCCATTGCCAGCCCCTCGCCCTGCCCCAGCAGGTCACGGGGATGGGAACCCCAACCCCATCCCAGCCCAGGGACATGTGTGGTGTCCAACTTAGTAACACACCTGTCGCGGGAATAAAAGCAGTTGTGGCCACAGGGTTATTTTCGGCACCTCTTTAGCGGGCGGCGGGCGCTGCCTGGCCGGAGAGCGAGTGGGAGCCCCCCAAAGCAGGCAGGGATAGTGGGCAGCACAGCACCCCAAGGTTAGTGCCATCCCGGGTGTCCGGAGTGCGTGGGGAGAGGCGTGTGCATGCCGGGAGCAGCGGGGCGACGCGCTCAGGAGGAGGGGTGACACGCGTTGTCACTCACACTGGCTGTGGAAAGGTCCCTGTGTTCATGGGGGGCTGGTGCAGGAGACAAAGGTCTGTCATGCTGCAGGTTGGCACTCTAAAATGTCCCCCCCGGGTCACCTGGAATGCAGGGTTCCAGGCAGCTCCCATTCTTCCTGTCTGGGCAGCAGGAACAGAGGTGCCAGCATGCTGCAAGCCAGGCTGGACTCTGTGAGAAATAGGTCATGGATTCTCTCCAGGAGTGCTGAGCAGCTCCCAGGGGGACAGGATGGATCCCCTTCTCTTGGCTGCCTTAACCGTTGAGGAGCTGGATCAGGCTATCACCATGTGGGGATGAACTTCACCCCCTTCTTCCCTCCCTTTCTCCTTCCCTCCTTCCCTCTCTCCAGCCCCCACAGCACTGGGGACCAATCCAGGATGTAGCCCCAGGGATGCAGCAGCATTCCAAAGCCTTCCAGGGGATGCCAACCTGGCATTACCCAGCAGGATCCGCTGGTCATCCCATCCCAGCCTTGTCTTCATGGTGCCAGGGCACAACTACCCGCTCTGACCTCCCATTCCCTCTCTCCTCAGTGATGAACGGGAGCAGCCACTCACCGACCGCCATCAATGGGGCTCCGTCCACCCCTAATGGGTTCAGCAATGGGCCAGCCACCTCCTCCAGCGCCTCCCTCTCTACCCACCAGCTCCCACCAGCCTGTGGCGCCCGGCAGCTCTCCAAGCTCAAGCGCTTCCTCACCACACTCCAGCAGTTTGGGAATGACATCTCCCCTGAGATTGGGGAGCGGGTGCGCACCCTCGTCCTGGGGCTCGTGGTATGTCTGTCGCATCAGCCTTGGGGTCCCCCATCATCCAGGGATCCTGTGTTTTCCTTTTGGGATGGAGATGCTGCTAAAAGGGAAAGGGGGATGTGGAGTGATCTAAATCCTTGAAAAGTGGGGTTTTTTTTTCCTGGCATCTCCTGGGATCTGCACAGCACAGTGCAGGGTTGGGTCCTGGCTGCTGGCATCACCAGCAAAGCCTTGAGTATGGTTTTCCCTTGAGAGTGGATTTTCCATGAGCATAGCAGAGGAGAAGGAATGGGGGAGAAACAGCCAAGCATCCCCCAGGGGTGCAGGGCAGGCAGAGGGCTGTGTCAGTGATGCTGAGCCTAGGCTGTCCCCACAGAACTCCACCCTCACCATCGAGGAGTTTCACGCCAAGCTCCAAGAGGCCACCAACTTCCCGCTGCGACCCTTCGTCATCCCCTTCCTCAAGGTGAGTTCCCCAGACTGGGCATGGTGAGATTCATGGAGCATTCCAGTACAGGGAATTTAAGGGTGGCTTAGGGGTCAGGGCAGGCAGTTCCCTGTGGGTCTGCCCTTGCCCACCCTGGGCACACGTGTCCCCTCACATGTGTGGAGTCACATGGGACTGGGGCTGTTTGCAATAAACCAGGGGTCAGCCAAGCTGGTTGCCATTTGAAATTCATTAAAACTCCCCCTTTTCTTTTTATTTGCCTTTTAATTTTGTACTAATTCTGCACTGTCAACCTGCTCCAGAGGGGTTCACTGAGCACTGGCATGCCTGGCACCACCGGTGCTGCCAGCAGATATTCAAGGCTGGCGTCACCTGTCCCTCATTAGCAAAGGAATCACTAAAAAGTGCAAAACCAGCCCCTTTTCCACCTCTGCATCCCAGCCCCCCTGTAGTAGAGGTCTGTGGAGTGGAGGTCTGTGCTCACCACAGGAATTTGCTGCAGAGCCACCGGAGCAGTTTGCTCCAGGCTGAAATGGGGGGACAGCAGAGCCCTCTTTCCCTCCTGCCCAGTTTGCAGGGGTTTTGGGATCCGTGAGAGCAAGGAATGGTCCTGGTGGGCACTGGTGGCCCTGTGGCTCCGGGTGGGCTGGGAGCCTTCCCGCTGTCCCGCTGCCAAGAACGCGGCGGTCGTGCCGGCTGCCCTGGCACCCCGCTCCCAGCTGTTCCCACCACCCGTTCCAGATGTTTCTCATTATCCTAACTGCAACCAGCCGGGCTCGGCGTGCTTCCCAGACTTGCTGTTTTTGTGGGATTGCTCCCTCCCGGCCGGGAAAGGGAAGGGAAGGGGAGGGAGGGTCCAGCCCTGCTCACCACGGCGTACATCTCCGGCTCGAGCGCTAACGTGTCCCACAGATGGGATTTGGCTGTGGATCAGCTGCCTAAGGAGAAATCCAGGGCTGGCAGCCAGAGCACTGGGCAAAAGGGGTCTCTGCCGCTTAGTTCCTGCTGCTCCACGTTCCTGGGGTTGCAGTGCTGGGGAGGGAATACAGTGAGTGAGTAGGATGGGAGTTCACAGATGATCCTCACACCGCATGGGTGCCAGATGGGCTGGGGGCTCCCAGAAATGCAGCCCCCCAGGGTGACAGTTTCGGGGACAGGGTGGTTGAGGTGGCCGAGGGAACGATGCTCTGCAGCCCCTGCCAGGATGAAGGAGGGCTCTGTCAAAGCTGTGCCCATGCCAGCACATGACCAAACACTGTATGGTGCTACACATGTGTCCCCTAAAAGCCCAGCTGGTCCCTGGGCATCCAAAGGCTGTCCCCTGGGGATGGTGAGCAGAACCCCAAAGGCAAGGTATCTGTCTGCCCCACATCCCCTGCCCATGGCAGGCTGGGGCACAGCCAGGCTGCATGGGGGTCTTCAGAGCCATGGACTTCACTGTCACCCCCCTCACAGGCCAACCTGCCGCTGCTGCAGCGGGAGCTGCTGCACTGCGCCCGCATGGCCAAGCAGACCCCGGCCCAGTACCTGGCCCAGCATGAGCAGCTGCTGCTGGATGCCAACGCCTCCTCTCCCATCGACTCCTCCGAGCTGCTCCTGGAGGTGGGCGAGAGCGGCAAGAGGAGGACGCCAGACAGGTGCAGACCGGGGGCATCGCGGGGGATTGTTCAGGGTCACATCCTTGAAAAGGGAGGTTGGTCCCCTGGTGGCGGGCACTGGGTGGGGATCAACCTCCTCTCCTCTGCCCAGGACCAAAGAGAACGGTTTGGACCGAGACCCCCTGCACCCCGAGCACCTCAGTAAGCGGCCGTGCACCATGAGCCCGGCACAGCGCTACAGCCCCAGCAACGGGCTGAGCCACCCCCCAAACGGGCTGGGGCACCCCCCTTCCGGCCCCCCGCTGCCTCAGCACTACCGCCTGGAGGACATGGCCATGGCACATCACTACCGCGACGCCTACCGGCACCCTGACCCCCGGGAGCTCCGCGAGCGCCAGCGGCCCGCCGGTGAGCCGGGGCATCCCCCCATGCACTGAGGGGTGAACAGGGGGCTGGACTCCTCCAAAGGCACACGGGTGCTGCAGGGGGCTGATTCCCACCCTGCTCTTGCCTTGCAGCCGTGCACGGGACACGGCAGGAGGAGGTAATCGACCACCGGCTCACTGACAGGGAGTGGGCAGAGGAGTGGAAACACCTCAACAACGTACGTAGAGCCTCCCTTGCCCCATCCTGTGTGTATGTGCCTCCATTTTGCCCTCCATTCCCACTGTGTCCCCCCTAGGGTTTTTCTCCTGAGCATCCTCTGCTCCATGCATCCATCACTCTGGTGCTGGCACAGCCTGGCATAGCCCAAAACTCCCCACCTAGTGCCAAGCACTGCAGCACCCCAGCTGCTCGCAGCAGAGTCCCCCCCACCTCCAATCCTGATATTGCCCCTCCACAGCTGCTGAACTGCATCATGGACATGGTGGAGAAGACGCGGCGGTCACTGACGGTGCTGCGGCGGTGCCAGGAGGCTGATCGTGAGGAGCTCAACCATTGGATCCGGCGCTACAGCGACGCCGAGGACATGAAGAAAGGCAGCCCCCCCTCTGCACGCCCCCACAACAGCTCCTCCACCCCTGAGGCACCCCAGTTAGGTATTGACCCCTGGTGCCGCGGCCCCATGCCGATCCCCCGGAGGTCCAGCGCCGCCGGCAGGTGGGTTCCAAGAGGGCGGCATTTCCTAATGGCATCCCCTGTCTCCTTCACAGACGCTCACCGGGAATTCGCACCACGGCCCCTCTCCGGGTACATGCCGGAGGAGATCTGGAGGAAGGCTGGTGAGTGTGGAGTGGGCACCAGCACCCATCAGTGTGCTGAGCTGGCAGGGTCTCTGCCCTAGTTCCCCACATCAGGAGGAATTTGGGATGAGTTTGCAGGGAGGGGGGATGCAGTTGCAGAGGGGAATGTGTGGAGCTGGGGCACTGGCACACCCTGGCCATGCTCGGCTGGTGCCTTCCAGAAGAAGCTGTGAACGAGGTGAAGCGCCAGGCCATGTCTGAGCTACAGAAGGCCGTGTCGGACGCCGAGCGCAAAGCCCACGAGCTGATCACGACGGAGCGGGCCAAGATGGAGCGTGCCCTGGCCGAGGCCAAGCGCCAGGCGTCCGAGGACGCCCTGACCGTCATCAACCAGCAGGAGGACTCGAGCGAGGTAGGGAACTGGGGGGACAGGGGACAGGTTGGTGGCAGCACAGGTGTGTGGGACCCGCTCCTCTTGCAATTGAGTTTGCAGCATCTGCTTGAGAGTGTGGGAATGGGGGGCTGCGGCAACCCCACAGGATGGGCAGGAGAGGGCAGTTCTGTCACCAAGATGGGGATAGGGTGTGTGGTGATGGGGTGCACGGTCCTGGATGGGGATGCACAACCTAGGGATGGGGATGTATGGTCCAGGATGAGGGAACCTGGTTCAAGATAGGGCAGCATGTTCTGGGATGGGAGTGCGTGGTCCAGAATGATGTTCATGGTTTGGGATGTGGGTGCATGATCCATGCTGGGGTACACGGTCTGGGATGTAGATGCAAGGTCTGGGATGGATGAATATGGTCTGGGATGGGGATGCATGGTACAGAATGATGTGCATGGTCTGGAATGTTGTGCATGGTCCAGGATAGGGAGGTATGGTCCGAGATGGGGATGCCTGGTCCAGGGCACGAGAGCACAGTACAGAATCAGTGTGCCTGGTCTGGTATGGGGATACACAGTCTGGGATGGATGTGCACAGTCTAGGATCATGTGCACAGTCTGGGTGGGGATGCAGAGTACAGGACGATGTATATGGTCCAGGATAGTGGTGCACAGTCTGGGATGGGGATGCCTAGTCGGGTACAGGAATGCACAGTCAAGGATGATGGAATGCATGGTCTGGGATGATGGAGTGCCTGGTCCAGGGTAAGGGTGCACAGTCTGTCATGGGGGTGCAGGATCCAGAGCTGAGGTTTAGTTTCCCTTCCCTGCAGAGCTGTTGGAACTGCGGGCGCAAGGCGAGTGAGACCTGCAGTGGCTGCAACACCGCCCGGTACTGCGGCTCCTTCTGCCAGCACAAGGATTGGGAGAAGCACCACCACGTCTGTGGGCAGACTCTGCAGGGGCTGCCGGGCCCCACCACTCCCTCTGCAGGCGTGGGGTTGCCCCCCGGGCCGGGCCAGCCTGATGGGGTGCCCACCATGGCCAGCAGCCCCAGCGAGGCGGGGTCAGTGGCCGCTTCCCGCGCTGGCACTCCGGCCACCCCGGCCCCGCTGGACAGCGCATCCCGCTGAGCCCCCCTGACTGCCCCGCTCCCGCTGCTCTGCAAGAGCCACGGACTGCACTTGGTGCAATTTCCTCAGCTACCTGACTCGTGTGACCTCCGAAACGACCTCTCTAGCTCTCACAAATAATCCTCACGGATCCTCAAACTGGGCTTTAAGTGGAGTTAAGGCAAATACCAGTCTCTGTTCTCTCTTCAGTCTTTGTTTTGGCTTTTTTTGGTTGGTTTTCTATTGATTGGGGTATTGTGGTTTGGGATTTTAGGGTTTTTTGATTTTTTGGGTTTTTTTTTGGTTTTTTCCCTTTTTTGCTTTCTGGGTGAGGGATTTGGCTCCAGACTCACCACACAGTGGCCAGGAAAGACCAGCCCGATCATATCCCGCATTGGCACTGCCGAGCAACTCACTTGGAGGAGGAAAGAACCTTCTTTTTTTTTGTCTCTCTTCCTTTTTCTTTTTTTGCTTTTGCTTTTTTTTTTTTTTTTTTAAAAAAAAAAAAAAAAAAAAAAAAAAAAAAACGTCGGACTCTTTGGCTTTAAGTAAAAAATTGAAAAAAAGGAAAAAAAAAAAAAAAAAAAAAAAGGAAAAATCCAAAAACCAGACGACGAGTGATGGACGCTCACCTGTAACTACCTTGCTAGCTAGCCAAGAACAGACCAGACTCACCTCTGCTCCAAAGGAAATCCAAAACCAAGGAAGATCCAAACGTCTCTCCACTGCCAAAGTTCGTTTCGTTCTGTTGTCGCTTCCTTCCCCTTCCCGCAAGG